GGCGGGCCGTACGGTGCAGCGGCGGGCCGGCAGGTGCAGCGGCGGGCCGGCAGGTGCAGCGGCGGGCCGGCAGGAGCAGCGGCGGGCCGGCAGGAGCAGCGGCGGGGCCGTCAGATGAGGTGGCGGGCCGGCAGGAGCAGCGGCGGGCCGTAGGGTGCAGCGGCGGGCCGTAGAGTGCAGCGGCGGGGCCGTCAGAGGTGGCGGCGTGGCCGCGGCAGTAGAGGCGGGGCCGCGTCAGGGGAGGCGGCGTGGCCGCGTCAGGGGAGGCGGCGGGGCCGCGGCAAGGGAGGCGGCGGGGCCGCGTCAGGGGAGGCGGCGGAGCCGCGTCAGGGGAGGCGGCGGGGCCGCGTCAGGGGAGGCGGCGGGGCCGCGTCAAGGGAGGCGGCCGGGCCGCGTCAAGGGAGGCGGCGGGGCCGCGTCAAGGGAGGCGGCGGGGCCGCGTCAAGGGAGGCGGCGGGGCCGCGTCAAGGGAGGCGGCGGGGCCGCGTCAAGGGAGGCGGCGGGGCCGCGTCAAGGGAGAGGTGGCGGGGCCGCGTCTGAGGGACAGCGGGGCCGCGAGGGAAAAGGCGACCCGAGGGGTCGCTAAAAAAAAAGGGGCGCGCCTCGGGGCGCGCTTCGGTGGGCCCTAAAAAAAAACGGTCCTAAGGCAGGACCCGCTCTATACCATGTGAAGTAAAGAAAACAGGAATGAAATGACTAAGGAAAGATTGGGTACAAATACAACCCTAGAAACCCTGTACCCCATATGTGCTACCCCACTATAGCCTACAGCAAATATGTCATATAAATCTGACATATTTTAATTCTTATGCAATCTTTATTGTCGGTCATATGCAAAATTAGTTTTGTTAAAGTGGATATTAAAATTATTTTACCTTGGTCTAGCTTCATTTCATAATATTCGGAAATATGATTATGAAATTGTAAAATATTTTTTTTCAAATAATTTATTACGATGATATATTTGCGGTTGACATTGTGTGAGTGTTTTTTTTTAAGGTTTGTTTGATATTTAGGGCTATATGATTGTATTTTGTTTTTGTTTTTGCTACGGATTACAAGTTTGCATTGCGAGGTTTTACGGTCCGGGATTGTAAGCGTCGGTATTATAGACGGAATTGCGCATTCTTGTGATGAGAAACAGTAGTCTTAGGAGCCATAGCTAGGAAAGCCCTAGCTAGGCAAGAACAGTTTAGGCAAAAAGAGGGTTGCACTCTCAAAAGTAGTTAAAACTTAGGTACCAGTGTGTTGGGTAGAACGAGAGTTACGAGAGGAAGGGGTCGAGAGAGTTTGACAAAAGAGGATGATTCAATATTGAGCGAGGGTACAAATAGGAAAGAACAAACAAGAAAGGTGCACCACCAAACAGAAACTTCTATGACTGCAGTATTCTACACTACAGGCAGTTACAAAACAATATATAGAGTTATATATTATTCTGACATGCACTAGCAAGAATGAGGATACAAATAGCAAACCCTAGAAGGGTTGTACTCGCTATAGAGCACCCCACTACAGGCTAGAGCATAACATTCTGACACACCCCCATAGCCAAAGTGGGGTGTAATCAACACAATGAGAAAGCAGGTATAGAGCAAGAGTTTACACAGATAAGCAAAGCTAGAGCTAATCACAGTGGACAAGTGAGGAGGAGGGGGAGCTGTGGGGGAGAGAAGATGGGAGGCGACTGCTGATGCTGCAGACACACAGACGAGCTGCTGGCTCAGTGGCTACCGGAACAGCGCTCCGGACTACTGGAGTAACTGGCCCCGCGGCTAAAAGTAGCGGCAGACGAGCAACGGACCCACGGGCGACTGGCGACTACCTGAGATTGTAGCCTCCGGACTGCTGCTGCTGCTGACGACAAGACTGCTGCCTCCACTCAACCTCCCCCAACTACCCCACACTCTCGGCACACGCCCACTGATCAAACCCTAGCTCCACTCCCACGCACCCCCCTTAAACCCTAAACCCCAGTCTCCCACTCATCCACCCCCCTCAGCGACAGCTGCAGCAGTGGGAGACAAAGGAGGAGGAGGAGAAGGGCATGGCGCGCACAATGGACACCCCCACAACCACCACCCCCACACCCTCCACCCCCAAAACCCTAAAACGGGTGGGATAGGGGCAGGAGCGCGGGGGACGGCGAGGGGAGGGACGGCGCACGACCCCCAGGGCACCAAAACGGACGGGCGGGGCGGGAGGGTGGCGCGCGCGGCTCCTCAGGGCGCCGCGACGGAAGGGCAGGGGGCGGGCGCGGCTCCCCAGGGCGCCGCGACGAACGGGCAGGGGGCAGGCGCGGCTCCCCAGGGCGCCGCGACAGACAGGCAGGGGGCGCACGCGGCTCCCCAGGGCGTCGCGACAAGTAGGGCGGGGCCGCGCGTGCGCCCCAGATCACCGCGACGAGCTGGGCGGGGGGGCGCGCGTGCTCCCCAAGGCGCCGCGTCGCGCGCCGCGACGGACGGGCGGGGCGCGCGCAGGCTCCCCAGGGCACGAAACCGCCGCGCGCCTCAGGGCGCACGGCGGGCAGAAAACCGCCGCGCGCCCCGAGCGCACGGCAGAAAGGAGAAAGCGCGTGCCCTAGGCGCGCTAGAAGCAGAACAGCAGCGGAAGTAGTTAGGTGGGGCCCACAGGCCAGGAGCATATAGCTCTGATTCCATGTGAAGAGAAACAGTAGTCTTAGGAGCCATAGCTAGGAAAGCCCTAGCTAGGCAAGAACAGTTTAGGCAAAAAGAGGGTTGGACTAGCAAGAATGAGGATACAAATAGCAAACCCTAGAAGGGTTGTACTCGCTATAGAGCACCCCACTACAGGCTAGAGCATAACATTCTGACAATTCTGTGGGTGTATACGTGGACAGTCAGTTTCGTTTTGCTGAGTCAAACCTGACTTGTACGGGGTACAGTTTGGTTGGAACGCGAAGTTACCATCCAGGATTTCTGGATGCACTGTTCATTACCATTCAGGCGATAATGTTGCCCATCTCGGCAATGTTGGTTACCATGGTGGCGATGAGAAGAAATCTCGGTTACGATTTGGAAACGTGGCTTACCTCACGTTCGATCGAGCTCCATGAGTGTTACCGCTAAGATAAATGCCCACGAAATTATAAGAACTATATTGCAAAAGCTGACATGGCATGCTACAACTACCTCGAAAATTGGTGTTGAGGTGGAAAGCATGTGCTAGTGACTGTTTGTGACTCCACGAAAGTCTTGGGGGTGCCCGAATGTCGGATGGGAAGGGCGGGAAAGTCGTGCGGAAAGGGCGCGCACAAAACGCGGTCCATCGAGTCTAGAGAAGATCCGACGTGGCGAGGTCGCTGTAATTTGGGTCGATGAGATTGAGAGAATATCGAGGGTCGATGCGCGTCATTTTGCCCTAAAGAAACTTCAGTTACTGTTAGGACGCCTTGTGGAGTGAGGCGCCATGGCGGGAAATCATACCCGTCGCATGGGGTCGCTCGCGCTGACGGGATTTCGAAGAGGGCTCGTCACAAGGAGTCACAAACCGTTTCCCGCCCCATTTCCCACACCAATCAGCTTTCTTTTAGCCATACAATGTTCAGCATTAGGGCGTGTAACATCAATTGTACCAACCTAGCCATATTCGACCCAGGTCTGGTCATGAGAAAACGATTTGTGTAACGCTTGCACGAATTCCGCCAAACACACTGCGACCGGAGAGCCATTCTGTTCGCGAGTTGTGGGGCACCCACCCTGAATCACCCCCGTGTTTGATCCATGTTTCGGAAGTCGAAGAGAGTGTGAAATAACGGAACACGGAAAGACAAGTGTTTAGCAAGGTGGTCATTGTCCGTTCCGATACGACTCCGGGAGAAATTACTGAATGTCATACAATATTTCCATACCCAGGACTGGGTGGTGCAAGTCGCAAAAGTCCGCGAACCAAAATTATATGAAGAATACCCTGACGTATTTAATGTAGTCAGAGTAATATCCACGCAATGCTAATCACTGGGTGTAACCCCAATTAGTTCGCAATCGTCAAAACCATCCAATTGGCATTATTTCTGTTGGTCGGTACAACGTTACACGCCCTTAATCACGCAGCCAGTGTTGGCTGTTGGCACTCTACTATGCGACACTCTTTGGCGTGAATTGCCCCTAACATGTTTAGCACGCATATGACCGTTCACCACGTTTATGCAACGACGCCCGATATCCAGAGTGGGAAGCTGCCCCACGCAGACACCATCCCGCACCCCTAAAACATATGATGGGGGAACATTGGATGGTGTTCGAGTCATGCAGAACACTTGAAGCAATCTCATAGGACATTCTTCACAGAACATCGAGGCAACTGAGCTTCCATTATTTGCGACGCTGTGAGCGCGCCATATGGAACCGACGATTAGGATCCTCCAATGTACCGTACGAGCTTTAAAACCGGAGTCTAATAGGTGTCAAAGTTAGGAAGGTTGGTTGGGAAAAGAGCAGCAACTGGCTCGCGAAATAGGGTGGTGTCGAAACAGGAAGTGAGAAGGTCGCTGTGTGATATACTGTTAGGAAAGTTACCAGATCCCAAATGCAATTCGTGAACCCCTTCGCGTAGAATTTCGGATTACCAGCAACTTCATTGGGCAAAATTGTCACCCCTGTCTTCGTTGTAAGTACACTGATTTATGGTCGTGAAAATTGTTCCGACAATTCGCGAAGTTGACTGTCATCTTACCAGATTATTTCCAACCAAAGTTAATCCCGACAGTTCTGGGCTGTCTGGAGCCCTGGTTTTAAACGCTGTCTCCCATATTTGAAACGCGTTACCCGCCGACTCTGACGGGCGGCGTAGCTGCCGCGCTGATACAGGTTGATTGTCGTTCCTCTCCGCAGTCCAACGGTTCCGCAACGGGTTACGCGGAGCGGATTGGGGACGGTGAGGGCGTATGACGAGGTGCATTCGTGATTGTAACTACGCTCCTCGAAACAAAGAGGCGTGCGTGGGGACGGAAGAAGAGGACAACTCGAGTGGGAAAAAATATGCGCGAGGCCTCCGGCGCAAGGGACGGCCCTGCTGATTGTGCGGAGGATACGCGCGGGGCGGCGGGGCCCCGGACTTCCGACGGGTGGTTTAAGAGATCGGCCCTGGTAGGCACGGGGGAAGGGGACTGGGGGGGCGATATCGCGGAGGATGGCGAGGGGGGGGGGGCGCAAGTGAATGTACGGATGAGGTTGCGGGAGATGTAGAGCCGATGGGCGAAATAACGGCGACGAGCTTGGCAGGAGAAAAACTCACCATGGTTTAGTCGCGACATTCCCCGAGGGGGGAGAGGGAAGCCAGTGCGGAGAATCAAGGGAGGGAAGCGATGAGGTAGGGCAAGTTGAGGAGGGGCGGCAAACGGATCGGAAGAAGGAGGTGCGGAGGTGTAGTCGAAAGCGAGAGGCGGAAAAGCTGCTTCTCCCGGGGCTGTTGGCGCGGAGTCCGCCCACAAGGAGGCGCAGATCTGCTGCTGTTGCCGCTGATGCTGCCTTGGGAGCTGCTGTAGCGACAGGGAAAGGGAGGGGAAGCGGGCCACTGGAAGGAGATGGGAACGGGGAAGGGATAGGGGGGGGCGAGGGGGGGGGCGCAAGGGAATGTACGGATGAGGTTGCGGGAGGTGTAGCAGCCGATGGGCGAAATAACGGTGACGAGCTTGGCAAGAGAAAAACTCACCATGATTTCGTCGCGACATTCCCCGAGGGGGGAGAGGGAAGCCAGTGCGGAGAATCAAGGGAGGGAAGCGATGAGGCAGGGCAAGTTGAGGAGGGGCGGCAAACGGATCGGAAGAAGGAGGTGCGGAGGTGCAGTCGAAAGCGAGAGGTGGAAAAGCTGCTTCTCCCGGGGCTGTTGGCGCAGAGTCCGCCCACGAGGAGGCGCAGATCTGTTGCTGTTTCCGCTGATGCTGCCTCGGGAGCTGCTGTAGCGACAGGGAAAGGGAGGGGAATCGGGCCACTGGAAGGAGATGGGAACGGGGAAGGGATAGGGAAGGAAATTGCGAGGGAGGCAGGAAGTGGGGGAGAAACTTGTAACGGCCCCGAAGACGGGGCAGGGGCAGGGACTAGGAGAGGAAAGGGGCGAGAGGGCGTGACAGAGGGTGTGGAGGAGGGTGGAGGGGTGCTAGGGCAAGCTGTAGCATCAGCGCCAGGTGCATCAATGGTGGGGGGCACAGGAGCAGAGTCCGGCGCAGAGGCAGTACCACGAGCAGCAGCAGCAGCAGCAGGTACGGCTGGCAAGGGTGGTGCTGCTGCTGGTTCGTCTGGACGGGGCCCGGCAAGGGTTACGGCGGGTGCGGGGGGTATAGGGAGAGCTGCGGCGGCAGGTGGGCCAACAGAGGGATCGAGGGAGGAGAGTGCGAAGGAGGCGAGAGGGATTGCGGAGAGGACGGGGAGGACCGAGAATGGGGGGAGGAGAGGCAACGCAGACGCTCGAGGTGCCAAGAGAGGAACACGGCAAGGCTTGGATCGAGGGGCGAACGCAGCGGCGAGCGCGGGGCCGAACGTGGGAGTAAGAACGTGGGCGAACGGACGGCCTCGGGATGAGGGGAAGGCGACGTCTAGGGAGGGAGAGGTGGGTGAAGGGGCTGCGACAGAAGGGAGGGGGGCGAGGGCGGCAAAGCGAGAGTTGGGGAGGAGGGTGACGGGTGAGGCAAAGGGCAAGCGGGTTGTGGGAGGGAGGGGTCGTGGCGTTCTATATTCGAAGAGTCCCACGAGCAGCGGACGTGCAGTTGAGGTGGAGACCGAGGGAGGTGGGAGGGGTGAGGAACATATTCGAAAGATCGGGAGAATCGCATGTCAGGAGAAGGGTGAGGGGGGCGTGAGGGAGAGCGCTAGTGAGGAGTTTTGGGGGTGTGAGGCCGATTGTGCGAGCGTGGATGCACACGAGTATGAGGTAGAGTGTGAGGAGGAGGAGGCGTGTGGTGTGATGGGAGAGGCGTGGGGGGGTGAAGAGGGGCGCGGGAGAGGAGAAGGGGGTAATAAACCATGCGGCGGTTTTGTGACTCCGGCACTCCTGAAGACTCGGACAAGAAGGGGACCGAGGGGAGGGATGAGGGACAGGGTGCAGACGGAGTAGGGGTGTGTTCTTCCTTGTAATGTGACCCCTGAAGTTCGGAAGACGCCTTTTGCAGGTGGTCAGAGAGGGAGGGTGAGTGATGGAGGGCGCAGAGAGAAGGGAGTTGAAGATGGGGGTGCTGCGCGGGCGGTATGGCGAGCAGATGGGAAATGTGGAGGGGGGAGCAAGCGGAAGCAAGCAGAGCTGGGGATGGGGGGAGCGGAGGGCGTGGGTTGGGGGGTTGGAAGTAGGGACGAGGAAGCGGGATACGGAGTGGGAGGAGTGGGATTTGTGATGGGGGTGAAGCCACCACGAGCAGTGGGTGCGGGGATTGGGTATGCAAGGGGCGCGGTTTGGGGGGGTGCAACTAGGCAGGATGCAGCATGTGTGGACCTTGTATGGGGTAAACCGGAACGGCATGCAGTATACGGAGATGGAGTGAGAGTTGTGAGGGTGAAGAGTACATCGGAGGTGTTGATTGCAGGAAATGGGTGTGCGAGACCAACTGCTGTTGTTACACGAATTGTCAATGCTGATGGTGCTGCCAAGGTAGCCGACGTGGCCAATGCACCTTCCCCAATTCAGCCTTGTACTGACTCACCACTACCCGCTCCTCCTGCTCCCTCACGTCGCAACTGCTACACCCCCCCTCCTTCTGCCACTTCCTCCCTCGGACCTTCCAACCCACCTCCCTACCAACATTCCCAACGGCCATCCAAAAGAGGACGCAATAACCTACTACACTCTGCGAATCCCAGCCCTGCGCCTCTACGCTTCAACACCCCCGCTGAACGGGGTGCTTCTAACTTTCTACCCCGTATACCCCCGATCAATGCTTCTAGCATTGCGAATCTGAACTTGTCCCGGAGAGGTGCGAGTCCTCCCAACACTCCACCCCATCGTTGGGCTCTCCACTTTCCCTTTCCATCCCCGTACACACCTGTCAGTGTCGTTGTCTCTCATCTTCTGTATCTAGTCAAACCGCACCTGCATCGATTGCCCTCCACCGTGTTCTCTCTTATAGGCCACGTCGGCTATGCTGGAATCTTATAGGCTGTCTTTTTGTCTTGTTGCATTTCCATGCATTCTGCCGTCCCTCGCATGTTACCCGCGTTTGCTCCAACTTTCCCTCATTCCCTCATTCCCCCATTCACTCGGCCCCGTACGCTCCCCATTCCCCCATCTTCCTACTATGCTCTTGCTATATTGTGTTGGTGCAACCCTACGGTTTGCACTCGGCTTGTTGTTCGTGTGCGTGCATGTGTGAGTGTATGGAATGGTATGAGGGCATGGGATAATATATATTTCATGCTTATAATTGTGTGTGAATGTCGAGTCATGATGTCGAGCGTGTGTGTCGAGTCAATAGCGAGTTATCGCTAGACGCGTGTTACGCGGTCGTTTGTGTCTCGCGCGCGGTTTTTATTTTGTCGTGCGCGGTTTCTATTTTGTCCTGTGTTGGACGTTCGGCGTGTCACAGGGGTGTGCAGCAGACCCATCAAGAACTCAAGGATGAGTTTGTGATGAAGAGCCCGAGCCTTGGTGTCAAGCCTCAAGTGATTTCGAAGCTCGCCAAAAAGGGTACACCTCAAGATATTGAAGATAGTTACATTACTTTGTGTAGTGTAACATTTCACTTGGTGTAGGCCCTAGTGAAAGGTAGTTTCGAGACCCTTCGTGGTTGGGGACAGTGTGGCACTGTTCCACATCACTGTACCTCGGCTCTTGGGGTTTGTAGGAGCTGGGAGTCATTCCCAACTCGTAACTCTTCCTATCTTGTGTTCTAAGACTATAGTGGCTGCCATAGTGCCGTTCGTTCAAACTGACGTTGTGTCGTCAATACTTGGTGAAATCGTGCGATCTAAATTGCCTATTGCAGGCGACAATAAAACGCTCCAGATCCAAGTTGAATCAAGTCATTTAAAGCAGTGACCAGAACGCTATGAACGTTTCAATCCGCAGTGCAGAAATCCGGCTGTGCACTCTATCTTTCGTTTTAGGCACATTGGAGCCTATTATGACTATAACATGTGCTCGGCTCGAGACACTTTATATGGACTGCCCTCTCCGTCTCAAAGCCATTCCGCCTTCCATCGGCGGTCTTACTGGTCTCACGGACCTGCACATCATTGCAAGCAGCGTCACTCACCTCCCTGACAGTATCGCCTCGCTACAGTCACCCGAATTCCTTGTGCTGCGCATGCACTCCAGTAACCCCCCATCCGCTGCCCTGCTTCCCCCCATCAACTGGCTTGTTGGACGAACAAACTGATTGGACCAGCTAATAAGCTGTTCCAACAAGACGGTTGGACCAACTGGGCAGTTGGTCCAACACAAATTCGCACCCATCACCTCTCCTCTCCTCTCCTCGGGACAGTGCAATGGGTAAGCGTGTTAGAGGACGACGTAGGCGTCGACGATGACGAGCACCTTATTTGGGACATGCAAGTACTCTTAGGGCGAGTTCAAAGGCGAATCAGTACGTGTGGATGCCAGGCCTTGTCGTTTGCTTGCCTGTGCAGATGGTACTATGGATTCCTCAAGAAGCGACATCAACTGGCTTGTTGGACGAACAAAACGGTAGGACCAGCTGATAAGCTGTTCCAACAAGCCTGTTGGACCAACTGGGCAGTTGGTCCAACACAAATTCGCACCCATCACCTCTCCTTTCCTCTCCTCGAGACAGTGCTATGGGTAAGCGTATTAGAGAACGACGTAGGCGTTGACGAAGACGAGCACCTTATTTGGGACATGCAAGTACTCTTAGGGCGACTACAAAGGCGACTCACGTCGTGGGGATGCCAGGCCTTGTCGTTTGTTTGCCTGTGCGGATGGTACTATGGGTTCCTCAAGAAGCGACATCAACTGGCTTGTTGGACGAACAAACCGGTAGGACCAGCTGATAAGCTGTTCCGACAAGCCAGTTGGACCAACTGGGCAGTTGGTCCAACACAAATTCGCACCCATCACCTCTCCTCTCCTCTCCTCGGGATAGTGCAATGGGTAAGCGTGTTAGAGGACGACGTAGGCGTCGAAGATGACGAGCACCTTATTCGGGACATGCAGGTACTCTTAGGGCGAGTTCAAAGGCGAATCAGTACGTGTGGATGCCAAGCCTTGTCGTTTGCTTGCCTGTGCGGATGGTACTATGGATTCCTCAAGAAGCGACATCAACTGGCTTGTTGGACGAACAAACCGGTTGGACCTGCTGATAAGCTGTTCCAATAAGCCGGTTGGACCAACTGGGCAGTTGGTCCAACACAAATTTGTCAGAACATTATAGCTTACTTATTTGTGTAGGCTATAGTGGGGTATCCCATAGGGGGTACAACCCAATTAGGGTTTCATATTTGTACTCACTTCATTCATAGTTCATTCATTCTCGTTCTTTCTTTTCACATGGAATCAGAGCAGGTTCCCTCCTAGGGACTGCTTCTAGGGCCCACCGAAGCGCGCCCCGAGGCGCGTTTTCCTTTTTTTTTAGCGACCCGTTGTGTCGCCCCCAGCGGCCCGTCGCGCCGCCCTTCCCTTAGCGGCCCCGCCGCCCTTCGATCGCGGCTCCGCCGCGCTTCCTTAGCGGCCCCGCCGCCCTTCGATCGCGGCCCCGCCGCCCTTCGATCGCGGCTCCGCCGCCCTTCCTTAGCGGCCCCGCCGCCCTCTGCTAAGCGGCCCCGCCGCCCTTCGATCGCGGCCCCGCCGCCCTTTGCTAAGCGGCCCCGCCGCCCTTCGATCGCGGCCCCGCCGCCCTCTGCTAAGCGGCCCCGCCGCCCTCTGCTAAGCGGCCCCGCCGCCTTGCTCACGCGGCCCCGCCGCCCTCTGCTACGCGGCCTCGCCGCCGCGTCGCCCGTGCACCTGCCCGTGCACCCGCCCGTGCACCTACCCGTGTGGCCGCCAGTGCAGCCGCCCGTGAGCAGCCTACGAGCCGCCCCAGCCGCCCGTGCAGCCGCCCGTGCATCGCCCGTGAGCCGCCCCAACCGCCCGTGCAGCCGCCCGCGAGACGTCCCAGCCGCCCGTGCGGCCGCCCGTGAGTCGCCCGCGAGACGCCCGCGCCGCCCGAGCCGCCCGAGCCGCCCGCGAGACGCCCGCGCCGCCCGAGCCGCCCGAGCCGCCCGCGAGACGCCTGCGCCGCCCGAGCCGCCCGCGAGACGCCCGCGCCGCCCGAGCCGCCCGAGCCGCCCGAGCCGCCCTTGCCGCCCGAGCCGCCCTGAGGAGCCGATCTTCTGCTCCTGTGGGGCTCCTTCTGCTCCTGGGCCAGCGCAGCTGCTGTGGTGCCGTGTTGCTGTGTCGCTGTGCTACCCGACTCTTCCTGCCCGGTGAGACTGTCAGCTGCTACAATGGCCACCCCCAGTGTCCTGACTTTTGACGCTGAGGGTCGCGCCATTGACTTTGCAGTCTGGATTGAGGACCTGCAGCTTTACTTACTGTGCGATGCGATCGATGAGGTTTCTCTCTTTGACTTTGTCTCTGGCGCTGTCCCTGCCCCTCCTGCTAATGCTGACCCCACTGTTCGCTCCAAGTGGGCCACACGCAATGCTGCTGCACGTCTTGCTGTGCGTCGCCACCTCCCTTCCTCCGAGCGTGCACACTTTAGTCAGTGCAAGACCGCTCAGGCCTTGTACGACGCTGTAGTTGCGCGCTACTCCTCCCCTTCCACTGCTACACTGAGCCGCCTCATGCTACCGTACCTCTTCCCTGACCTTGCTGCCTTTCCCACAGTCACTGACCTCTTTACCCACCTTCGCGCTAGTGACACTCGCTACCGAGCTGCGCTTCCTGCTGCCTTCCTCGCCGAAAACCCCCCTCCCATGTACATCACCCTCTACTTTCTAGTCACCCGTCTCCCTGAGTCCCTTCGTGCTGTTAGGGACTAGTTTCTCTCTGTCTGTCCCACCACCCTCACTGTCGACCTCCTTGAGAAGTCCCTGCTAGCGGCCGAGAAGAGCATAGTCGCTGTAGGGGCCTCTCGTGGTGACCCGCGCACCCCCATCTTTGAGGGGTGTTCTCCTTCCCCCCTGCTACCCTCTGCCGCCTCTGCTGCTGCGGCCGACCTCGTTGGTTTAGAGTCGGTCGGTGCGGCGTCTGCCCCCAGCGGTAGGCGCCGCTCTCGAAGGAGCAAGGGGGGCAAGGGAGCGGGTGGAGCTAGCGGGGGCGGTGGCGGAGGAGGTGGGGGCGGCGGGGGGAGTGGGGGTGGCGGTGGGGGTGGAGGCGGGGGTGGAGGTACTGGTGGCGGCGGTGGAGGCGGAGGTGGCGGCGGAGGTGGTGGCGGAGGAGGCAGTGGGAGCGGCAGGGGCGAAGGTGGCGGTGGCGGCGGTGGCGGCGGAGGCGAGGGTGGCGGTGGTGGAGGTGGTCGGAGTGGCTCGTCCCAGAGGAGCGGCACTGGGGGTGGTCAGCGCCAGCAGCAGCAGCGCTCTTGCGACGTCCCCGCCCCTCAGCAGCTCCGTGAGTGGTACTCGCAGCGTCAGCGTGGTGAGGCGTTCGGTCCCTGCACCTACGTCCTTCGCACCGGCGACCGCGCGGATGAGCAGTGTGGGGGCACCCACACCGCTCGCCGCTGCTTTGCCCGCCTGACCGACGCTTGGCGCCAGCAGTTTCCGGAGGCCTCTGAGATCCCCCGCTGGGGAGAGCTGTCTAGGGATGGTGTAGCTGTGTTTGATCTTGACTTTGATGCTATCCTTGCTGCCATGTATGCTGTGACTGTTGGTGATGATGGTGACTGTTACCGGTGCTTTCCGCCCGACCCGGGCATCGGTACTGCTGTGTCAGGTGCCAGTGAGGCTCCTGCTCTAGGTGCCAGTGCGTCTGTGCTCTCAGGTGCTAGTGAGTCTGCCCTCTCAGGTACTGTGTCGGCTTCTGCCTCCCACACCTTCACCCTTGACTCTGGGGCGTCTCGCTCCTTCTTTCGGGACCGCACCACTCTCACGCCGCTTAGTCGGCCGGTTGCGGTGTCCCTGGCTGACCCCTCTGGGGGTCCTGTCCTGTCTCGTTTCTCCACGGACCTCCCGTGTCCGGCGGCTCCCTCTGGCACCCTGACTGGTCTTTACCTCCCCTCGTTC